GGGCCCACGCCCATAAAACAGGGCCTGCTCTCCATAGGCCAGTAGGGGAGATCAAAGGGCTTACAAGAGGAATAGATTGGGGCGACGAGCTTTCCTTCACTTACCTTACCCGGGTGACCACCCCACTGGGCTGGCTGTGAATATACATAATAAGGCTGGTGCTAGCACTGCAAGAGCTCGCAAGGGAGATCTTTTGATCTCCCCTACCGACTGTAGACCATGGCCATCGTGGCACTTCCGGCATTTGCCCAGTTTGTCCAATGGCCAGTCCTATTCTGCCCACGTTGATATCAACAGTCATAGCTGTTTTCTGGATCTAACTAACAATGCACACAGTGGCAGAACTACCGCGGTCGCAGGGGTAGCAGCTGCGAATGGGCCCGTCACTCCTGGGGGCCCGGCCACCCTGTGGACCCCTGCGACCGCGGTGCCCGCCAGCTAAGTAATGCTGCCCTGGCCCACGCGGTATAACCGCCAGGGCCGCACTGAAGGGGCCCATCGGGTGGCCCGAACAGCATGAATTATCAGGAGGCCTGGTCAGCGCTGCAACACTTTAACAGCGCGACCGGGGCCCCTGAGATGACATACTAGCTGGGAGGAAGTGACAGCCCTGGTCACTCCTCCCAGCTTACACCGTGAGTCATGCAGGAGGAAGAAGAGGAGGGAGTCAGAGTGGGAATTCTGACTCCCTTCAGGCTGAACAACTGGACCCCAGGGAAAGTCACCCTCCTGCACCAAAAATGTAGGAAACAGGAGGGTGACTAAAACATTTTGTATATGTGTCTGTATATGTGTGTGTTTGTATGTATCTGTGTGTGTTTGTGTATGTGAGTCTGTATGTGTCTGAATGAATGTTTTGTCTGTATGAATGTTTCTCTGTATGTGTGTCTCTATGTATGTGTGTGTATATGTATGTGTCTGTATGTATTTATGTGTATGTGTGTTTGTATGTATGTATGTGTGTGTATGTGTGGTGGTGTGTGTTTGTATGTATGTGTCTGTATGTGTGTGTGTGTGTGTGTCTGTATCTATGTATGTGTGTGTGTGATGTCTGTCTGTGTGTGTGTCTGTGTGTGTCTGCATGTGTGTCTCTGTGTGTGTGTGTTTATGTTTGACTGTGTGTATGTGTTTTTGTATGTATGTGTATGTCTGTTTGTGTGTCTGTGTGTTTGTATGTATGTGTCTGTATGTATGTGTGTGTTTATGTGTGTGTGTGTCTGTATGTATGTGTGCCTGTATTTGTGTGTCTGCGTGTATGTGTGTCTCTGTTTATGAGTCTGTGTCTGCATGTGTATCTGTTTGTCTGCATGTGTGGAGTGGGATGTATGGGAGGGGGAGGGTGGATGTATGGGGGGTGGCATGGGGTAGACTTTGGGGGGGCAAGGCAATTTTCACACCGGGCCCCATGGTTTCTAGTTATTCCTCTGAATGCACATCTCTAAAAATGGGAAAAGGACAGATAAGCAACTACAGATCCAATGTCGCCATATGGGGGATACAACCCTTACACTTGTAAGGGGCTTGCTTGGCTGTGCTCCGGGGCTCTGTAAAGCAATGAAGTCTGGTTGGGGACCAGACTATATTGCGGTTCTGTGACAGCTCGTATGTTTGTGTATCTGTGAGTGTGTGTGTGACTAATATTTGTGTGTCAGAATGCACGTGGATGTGGTCAAACAGCACAAACTGTTGGTGCTGGTCTGCAACCACTACAGGACAATGTCGCCAAACTTATCTCTCAATTATTGGGGTCAACCAAAATAGAAATATCAACAGAGAGCACAGAACCCTGGGCCTAATTACTGCGAGGCACCAGAGGATTAGAGGGAGAAGAGTGTAAGTAATGAAAAAAATAAGTAAACTTTTATTAAATCCAAACAAACAATAATCAGGATGTAAAAGCACAACTGAATCAAATGATATTGGACTAAGGATACTGAAAAAATGGAGATAAAAGAGAAAAAAATAGACAATCAATTTAGAAAAGTAAGCATCACATGATATACAGGACTAATAATCCTTTTTATCAATAATCGCTAAGGTACAACACAAAAGAACAAAGAAACCTGTTAGACCTGTCTGGAATGTTATATAGATTAGAAGTTGAAAGCTGGTTTGGAATACTTAAGTATTGTTTAAGCCCCAAAGATGTCTATGAAAATCGCAATACGCTAAGAATGCTCCCCGAAAGGGACTCAAATAACTAATTATCATAGCCACCCCAAACCAGTTAGCTATCTGTGCCAAAAATAAGCATCAAAACACTTCTTCTAATAAATGTTATATAACACAGTAAGAAACACAGGTGTCAGTCTCAGAACACTGACCCTATTTACCTTGTCACCGCAGAGTTACCTGCTAGTACCTACTAGAACCAGCTAACCCTAAACCAGAAAAACACTTACTGAACCAAAGAATAATGGGCAAAGGATATTGAAAAATAAGGGAAGATGCCTGCAATATTTTATTTTTCACTTAAAGGGACACTATAGTCACCAGAACAACTTCAGCTTATTGTATTTGTTCTGATGAGTAGAATCATTCCTTTCAGGCTTTTTGCAGTAGAACACTGGTTTTTTTTTTCAGAGAAAATGCAGTGTTTACATTACAGCCTAGGGATTCCTCCACAGGCCACTCTTCAGATGGCTGCTAGTGGGTCTTCATAGAGAAGTGCTGCACAGTGTGCAGCACTGCCAATCCGTGTCTTTACCCTATGCATGGAGACACTGAACTTTCCTCATCTCTGTGAATCTCTGCATAGAATAAAGAATATAAAAAACAATATCAAGTCACAAACCTTAATATAAAGAATCTGTTACTATTTTATTCAATTATTTCTAATGATGCAACTGATTTAATTCCCAGATGAATATTTATTCAAGGAAGCAAATAAATTGAACACTAGACCCCCTCAATTGACGAGAATTAGCTTTTTCTAATTAACAAAACCTTCTAGTGCTTTAAAATGGCATAACAGAAAACACATTTTAGGACGGAGGAACACAAAATATTTGATTTAAACGTAGTACATATGTGTCTATATCCTTTGTCTATATCCTTTGAAGCTGCCAAATTCTTTAAAAGAGCAGCCAGTGGAGGAAATTGGCAGCCAGGTTTTTAATCAATCTACCTGCAAAGAGCAGTCATTGGCTTGATCTGTTGCTCAACCTAATGTTATTGTGTGACTTATAATCACACATTAGCAATATTAATTCCATCCATATTTGGATGTCAACGGAAACACTCAGCCAATAAATGCCAATGAAATATGGTCAGAACTGATACTGCTAAAGCAGCAGTGTAACTAGCGCAATAGCGATATGTAATGCTAGGTGTGTGTCAATCCACGTTACAATAGTTTGGGGCACCAGGAGAATGCTGACACCAACACCACTGCAGTGCTCTAAAAGTAGTCATTATTGCTATGTCCCTGCAGAAGAGGCTATTTCTGATCTGACTGTTTCCCAAGAGATTTCAGTTTATGTAGCCACTTCTCCACTTAATGCTGTATCAGTCTCCAGATATTAATGGTTCAAAATGTGAACAATGCAACAAAATACTTACAGGGTTGCTCACTAAAGTGTGAAATGTCATAGGTTCAAAGTGATTTCAAAGTGCATTTTTTTTTTTTTTTTATTTTGGTCAAAATAGCCAAACACATTTGCGCTCCAACCAGGGCTGCCATCAGAAATTTTGGGGCCCCTGACATAGCTCAAGGTCTGGGCCCCCTGGTGCCTGCACCCGAGTCCGCCCAAAGTGCTGCCCGAGTCCGCCCACAGGGATGCAGTGTCTGCAGGGCCGGTGCAAGGATTTTTGCCGCCCTAGGCAAAAGTAAAGTTTGCCGCCCCCCATGTGACATCACATTGCCCCACCCATATGATCTGCCATGTTAACTAACACCAGTGCTGCAGTGCCGCCGTGTTTACATTAAAAGGCCTACAGGGACAGGCTAGACACCACTAGACAACATTTGCGGCCTGTGGTGCATTTCTTGCAGTCCTGATGCATGGAGAAATGCTCAACTCCTGATGCATGGAGAAAAGGCCTCACAAGCCTCTGCTAATGTGTACCTAGTTTATACTAAGTGACCCATAGAAATGCTCAAACACTCCCACAAAATATTGGGACATACAAAAAAAGAAACATTTGCGGCCTGCGGTGCATTTCTTGCAGTCCTGATGCATGGAGAAATGCTTAACTCCTGATGCATGGAGAAAAGGCCTTCACAAGCCTCTGCTAATGTGTACCTAGTTTATACTAAGTGACCCATAGGTTGCGGAGGCGGTGACCGTGGCGGTGGAGCAGGAGGATGAGGTAGCCAACACTGTTTTTTATGGGTTTTTTTTTTATTTTGATAGCCCACACAATATTGGGACATACAACAAAAGAAACATTTGCGGCCTGCGTTGCATTTCTTGCAGTCCTGATGCATGGAGAAATGCTCAACTCCTGATGCATGGAGAAAAGGACTTCACAAGCCTCTGGTAATGTGTACCTAGTTTATACTAAGTGACCCATAGGTTGAGGAGGCGGTGAACGTGGCGGTGGAGGAAGAGGATGAGGTAGCCAATACTGTTATTTATGTTTTGTTTTGTTTTTTATTGTGGTAGCACACAAAATATTGGGACATACAAAAAAAGAAACATTTGCGGCTTGCGGTGCATTTATTGCAGTCCTGATGCATGGAGAAATGCTCAACTCCTGATGCATGGATAAAAGGCCTTCACAAGCCTCTGCTAATGTGTACCTAGTTTATACTAAGTGACCCATAGGTTGAGGAGGCGGTGACCATGGCGGTGGAGGAGGAGGATGAGGTAGCCAACACTGTTTTTTTATTTGTTTTTGTTTTTTTAATTGTGGTAGCCCACAAAATATTGGGACGTACAAAAAAAGAAACATTTGCGGCCTGCGGTGCATTTCTTGCAGTCCTGATGCATGGTGAAGTGCTCAACTCATGATGCATGGAGAAAAGGCCTTCACAAGCCTCTGCTAATGTGTACCCATAGGTTGAGGAGGCGGTGACTGTGGCAGTGGAGGAGGGGGATGAGGTAACCAACATTGTTTTTTATATATATATATATATATTTTTTTTTTTTTTTAATTGGGGTAGCCCCCAAAATATTGGGACATATAAAAAAAGACAACTCTGTTCCGCAGAGTAGCCGTTGACATTATAGTTGTGCAGGCACTTTGTTGACCCTAGAGAACCTCGGGCCAATCGCACAACCCTGTGACGACGACTTTGCATGCAGATGTCATTGATATCAACTTTCAATGCCAGTTTCTGCGCCTACCATGGTGACCACGGGTAACGGGGAATCAGGGTTCCATTCCGTACAGGGACCCTGAGAAACGGCTACCACATGCAAGTAAGGCAGCAGGCGCGCAAATGACCCACTCCCAACATGGGAAGGTAGTGACGACAAATAACAATACAGGACTCTTTAGAGGCCCTGTAATTGTAATGAGTCCACTTGAAGTCCTTTAACTCTGATCAATTGGAGGGAAGTCTGGTGCAGAGCCACTGACCCGTGCGTGCGTCAGCTGAAACTCCACTATCGCCTGCTGCAAAAATAATTCTCACCCATCTTCTGTGGGTTATTGCATTTTTAAGATTTAGACTTATTGTATCACACTAGCCATGCACAGGTAGATTGTCTGGCACGTTGTTTTGGTGTTTGGTTTTTAACTTTGTAGTTGTGTCTTTACCCAATATAGAAATGTATATTAATGCTTCTGTATATGAAGCGATCACAATATCACTTTATTTCACTTTTTTTTTAAAAAATCAGGCTACACAAAAATTGGTAATTCACAATATGACATCTGAAAAGCACATGAAATGATGCTCTATGATTTAAAAAAAAGAACACACTACATGAAGGTCCTGTTCACTAGAGTGTGTAGTCATGAATGTAACCAGTAAAACACTGGTTGGCCCATACATATTTAAAAAAAACTTGTTTGATTTTGTTATAGCATGACTTGTAGATATGAAGAGCAGGCCCCAACATATACTATTTAGCAGATTGGCACCCAGAAAATTAGAATTTTTACAAGTGCGCTGTAAGCACACTATAAGACGCTTCTATTTGACTCTGAGATATGAAATGCACCCCACTAAAATACTATTTAGCAGTTTAGCACCCAAAAATTTTTAAGTTTTAAAACTGCAATGTGACAGCAGTATTTGACAGTTCTATTTGACTTTCAGATATGAAGAGCAGGCCACAAAATTTACTATTTAGCAGTTTAGCAGCAAAACAATTGGAATGTTTACAATTGCGCTGTAACCGCAGTATTAGACGCTTCTATTTGACTCTTAGATATGAAGTGCACACCCAAAAATGTTCTATTTAGCAGTTTAGCACCAAAACAATTAGAATGTTTACAATTGCGCTGTAACCGCAATCATAGGCGTGCGCAGCCTATTGTATAAGGGTGTGCACCCTAAAGCACAAACACACATGCCGCGTATATATATATATATATATATATATATATACACACATACACACACACAGATACCGGTGTGTGTGTGGGCGCTGTGTGTGAAAGCGCTGTGTGTGTGTGAAGGTGATGTGTGTGTGTGAAGGCGCTGTGTGTGTGGGCGCTGTGTGTGTGAAAGCGCTGTGTGTGTGTGCGGGCACTATGTGTGTGTGCAGGCGCTGTGTGTGTGGGCGCTGTGTATGTGGGCGCTGTGTGTATGTGAAGGCGCTGTGTGTGTGGGCGCTGTGTGTGTGTGAGGGCGATGTATGTGTGTGAGGGCGCTGTGTGTGTGTGAGGGCGCTGTGTATGTGTTTGCAGGCACTGTGTGTGTGAGGGCGCTGTGTGTGTGAAGACGCTGTGTGTGTGAGGGCGCTGTGTGTGTAAGGGTGCTGTTTGTGTAAGGGCGCTGTAACGGAGCTCCCTGTACTCTGACCGAGTACCCTCCGTTGATGGATGCTCCTAGCGCTTCCTGAGGACTCCAAACACTGCAGCAGACACCACAACCACCGCAGACTCCACAACCGCCGTAGCTTAACTGGAGTCTCGCCGTCTTCCTTCCACCCTGGATCAGCTTCTGTCCTCCAGGACCGTGTGGGGAAGACCTCTCCTCCAGGAGAGCGTAACAGGAACAGCTCTTAAAAGAGCTAAGTGATTAAAAGCTCAGGGGAGTATGCAGAGCATAGCAATCCCCAGTGTGATATAGCAGTTCCCTCCAATAACGAGACAAGGCTACGTATTGAGGGTCAAGAAGATCTGTCAAAACCTTTATTCCCTTGGGACCAGCCAATACAGTCACCACAATAACATTGTTGTGAAACCTCAATAAAATCACAAACAGTCAAACCATATCAAGAAACACACAGTGACTTATCACAACACAATGGCACATTTTTAAAGGGGTGGGGGGAGACAATATTTAACAGTAAATATCTCACCTGCCTGCAGAATTAGCAATATGCAAATCTACCCGAATATGCAAATGAACCAGTCTTGCAATTCAGGTAGTGCATATTGCTGTTGCTACCAACAGAGGGCACTAGACAAGCTCCATAGCCAAACCCACCTAGTTGGTAGCAAACCTCAGCAATACAAGAGAGCAGGCAATACATTACACAGTACACACACACACACACTATAAACAATTACATTACACACACCCTGCACCTATAATGGGTACAGGGTGACTAAAACATAAGATAAATAAAGCAGCCTACATAAATAGTCTGTCTGAAGGTAGACTAGGGGCTTTAAAGCCAGATACATGAAAGAGTCATAGTCACAGAGGGAGGAGGCTGGCAAGTAGGCCTCTCCAGGACCAAGTGGCGAAGGGCACTTCGTCACATATCTCCCCTTCGGGGGGAAGACTAACCAGGCACCTGACTTTCTGTCGGTCAGTGCCTAAGTTAGTCGAGTCACCCACCGACCATAAGCAAGTGCCAGAGTAGCCCACCCACAACAAACAGTTATTAGAGCAGCCCACCCACAGCAAACAGTGACTGCACCTGGGTATTCCTCTGGGGTGATGGGGCAACACGCTGTGGGGACTTGAGGGGCAGAGGCCAGCGGCGCTCTGCCCTGATGCCAGCGCTTCTGCTGGGAGGAGGGGGGTGCAGGCCAGTCCTGTGACAAGGGGATTGGTAGGGCAGAGGCCAGGGCGGTCTGCCCTGATGCCAGCTCTTCTGCTGGTATAGCCTGCAGGACATCAGGCTCTGGACAAGGGACAAAGGGAGGGCAGAGGCCGACTGCACTCTGCCCAGCTGCCAGCTCTTCCGCTGGGGGGCTTGGGACATAGTCCGGCTCAGTAGCCAGGGGAACGTGGGGGTCAGTGGGGGTTAACATCTCCCCTGTTAACCCTGGGGCCAAGTTAGGAGTTAGCTGGGGAGGGGAATTCGTACTTACCCCCTCCTCCTGTTGTCCCTGTGAGGGTAGTTGGGGATCTGGACAGGCTGTCCAGCATCCCTGTAGGTCGGGCACAGAGACCACGGTCCCCTCTGCGCCATCTGGGAGATTGGTGTCTCCCCTTGGTAGGGTAAGCTGCCGCTGGGGAGATAGGGTGCTGTGCTCCTCTCCCTGAAACACAGGCTGCCGCTGGAGAGGGAGACCGCCTGTCTCCACTCCCATAACATTGTCCTGCTGCTGGAGAGAGAGACCAACTGTCTCTGCTCCCTGTAGGACACACTGCTGCTGGGGGGGAAGGACGACACCTTCGGCCCCCTGGAATTCGCACTGCCGCTGGGGAGGAAGGACGACACCTTCGGCTCCCTGTAACTTGCACTGCCGCTGGGGAGGAAGGACGACACCTTTGGCTCCCTGTAACTTGCACTGCCGCTGGAGACTAGGTGTCCATATCCTCAACCTCCACAGTTGTCGCTCAAAGGCCATTGCCGCACTGTTCTCAGCACTCAACTGGCGCATTACTTGGTGGACCACCTCGTTCGAAAGGTCTGGGCCATAGCAGACCAACCGCCTCTTTACCTCCTCAATGTAAGCGTCGTCCTCGTAGCGACGTATCATGTTGAGGTGCTCTTCGCAGGGCTCTATCCATCCCTGCTCCATGCTGCTGTAGTTAGGGACGCTGCACAGTGGCTAGCGTTGCCCTCAATAACCTCTCATACGATACCAGTGTCTCCAAACTGCTTCTCCTCGCACTAGGACGCCATCCCACCGCTGCCACCAATGTAACGGAGCTCCCTGTACTCCGACCGAGTACCCTCCGTTGATGGATGCTCCTAGCACTTCCTGAGGACTCCCAAGCACTGCAGCAGACAGCACAACCACCGCAGACTCCGCAACCGCCGTATCTTGACTGGAGTCTCGCCGTCTTCCTTCCACCCTGGATCAGCTTCTGTCCTCCAGGACCGTGTGGGGAAGACCTCTCCTCCAGGAGAGCATAACAGGAACAGCTCTTAAAAGAGCTAAGTGATTAAAAGCTCAGGGGAATATGCAGAGCATAGCAATCCCCAATGTGATATAGCAGTTCCCTCCAATAACAAGACAAGGCTACGTATTGAGGGTCAAGAAGATCTGTCAAAACCTTTATTCCCTTGGGACCAGCCAATACAGTCACCACAATAACATTGTTGTGAAACCTCAATAAAATCACAAACAGTCAAACCATATCAAGAAACACACAGTGACTTATCACAACACAATGGCACATTTTTAAAGGGGTGGGGGGGAGACAATATTTAACAGTAAATATCTCACCTGCCTGCAGAATTAGCAATATTCAAATCTACCCGAATATGCAAATGAACCAGTCTTGCAATTCAGGTAGTGCATATTGCTGTTGCTACCAACAGAGGGCACTAGACAAGCTCCATAGCCAAACCCACCTAGTTGGTAGCAAACCTCAGCAATACAAGAGAGCAGGCAATACATTACACAGTACACACACACACACACTATAAACAATTACATAACACACACCCTGCACCTATAATGGGTACAGGGTGACTAAAACATAAGATAAATAAAGCCGCCTACATAAATAGTCTGTCTGAAGGTAGACTAGGGGCTTTAAAGCCAGATACATGAAAGAGTCGTAGTCACAGGGGAGGAGGCTGGCAAGTAGGCCTCTCCAGGACCAAGCGGCGAAGGACACTTCGTCACAGGCGCTGTGTGTGTAAGGGTGATGTATGTGTGTATAATTGTGCTGTATGTATGTGTGATGTTAGTGTGTGTGTTAGTTTGTGTATGTGTAAGGGTGCTGTTAGTGTGAGGGTGCTGTTAGTGTGTGTGAAGGTGCTGTGTATGTGTGTAAGGGTGCTGTGTGTGTGTGTGTGTGATGTTAGTGTGTGTGTGTATGTGTAAGAGTGCTGTTAGTGTGTGTGTGAGGGTGCTGTGTGTGTAAGGGTGATGTATGTTTGTGTGTGCTATATGTTTGTGTGTATTGTGTGGGAGTGTGGGGACTGTTTAGTTAATATCCCCCCTCCCTTCTTACCTTTTGTAGGGAGGGGGACCATGCTGCTGCCATTCCTGGTGGTCCAGTGGTGAGTGAACTCTCGCGACATCTGAGCGTTGCCGCAGTAACCACGGCATGCTCCGACCTTGCGAGAGGAACCCGGCGGAGCTGCTGGCAAG